AAAATATTATTTATTTTTTTTGCTAAGGTTTTGACATTGTTAGACAATTCCAAAGTTAGATTGTGGGATTATCAGCTGACAGTTGAACATTCCTTGGGAAAATCTCCAAAAATCATGAAACCTAAACTGTGACCGAGTAAAAAAGCCAACATTTCAAAACTCGTTTAAGAGTTGAATGAAGTTTTTACTGTCTGAGCTACAAAGATCCAAATAGGGCTGAGGCTTCTTATCAGTTTTGCCAAATCCCATTGATCCCCACTGCTTCTTTGTGCAATTTTTTTCAGTATTTGTCTATATTGTATAACCTACAACTACCAAAAATCTTAGCCCACTATTTCCCAGTGGAGCTGCATGTTTTGAATTATAATTTGTACGGTTTACTTAAAAAATACAGAACCAAAAAAATGTATAAAATAATATTAAAAGTATAGGGGGCACCCTTAATTACTAATTAACAGAACAAAATGTGTATTTTTGATTGTTTTAATGGGATAAAGCAAAGCCACTGGTAAGAAATATTTGGGGACTGATCTAAAGTGGCAGTGAACAAGTGCATGCTGCTGCAGCACAGCATCATGACTGATGTCTGTGGTCTCTGCACCACTTGACACCAGATTATTGCTCCACAGTTTAATACAACCACATGCCATAAAGCAGAAGTCGCGCTGCATGCAGGGATGGAGCCACCCCAGAGTCTCCTCTCTCGTTTTTCATCTCCTCCTTGGTTCTCTGCAATGAACCACACTGCTAAGCACACACACACACACACACATACACAACTGAGAGCCCTCGGGGGGCTCAGGTGCTCAGAGGTGAATGAATAATATGGTCATGCTCTGTTTTAGCTCTGCGTCAGCTCAAGTTTCACAGCCGGAGAGGTTTTCTCAGTCGCGTCACTTCGTCCTGATTCTTGCCCTCCTGCTGTGAAATTGGCAGCGTACACCTGTTCCCGCTCAGGTCGGCCACCTTAAACACTAATCAACCAGACAGGAGGGGAGAACTGACAAGAAGGTCGGCGGTCAATAAGCAGGGAAAACGTACCATTTTTATAAACCGTATGTGAAATGATGGAGCAAATCTCCCCGTGTAAACTCTGCGAGTGCTCAATATCAATTAAGCGATATTTTTAATTTAAACTGAACACTCTGCCTATTTAATAGATTTTTAAAATCACTAAGTGGGGGGCTAGGCAAAATATATTTAATGCATGTGCATTCAAATCAATGATTGTATAAAAATAATGGTTCATGTCATGAAATGAAGCTCTTTCCCCTAGTGCTTTAAGAAAGTAAACTTGATTTAAAACACTTAAAGAGACTCGTGTTGAGTGGATCAAGGGTCAAAATAGAATGACTTGAATTCTAATGAGTCATTTGTGAGAAGAAAACATTAATTCAACAGGAAGAGCCTCTTCGTCATATAAATTCATGTATACACCATCCATAAGGGGCACGGTCAGATAGCGTAGCTTCAAAGGTGGCTGGTTTGTTTGCGCTCATCTTTCCTCTTGATTGTCTCCTCCTCACATGTAGATGCTCACTGGTTAGTGTCTGTGTTCAAAGTGCAAAATCCAGCAAAAGGTGAAGTCTGGCAAGAGCTGACCTCAACAACATCATCATCGTCCTGCAGGCTGTTATCTGCTGATCAGTCAGCGTACTAATGGAGCTCACAAACCCCATGTGTTCATGAAGCACTGTCACCCTATCAGTTTGGTAACGTTATCAGTAATTTGCAGTTCCTATCAAATGTGAGAGTTGAAAACTTTGAAGGATTTAAATAAACTCACTTACAAAAGGGGGTCAAAATTAAAATCTTTTGGCCAATGTCAGAATCTACATGAGCTCAAATCAGATACCCAACATCTTGACTTTGTCACGGCTTCTTCAACAAGAGTTTGATTGGTCTCATTTGATCTCTGTTGTGCTTTTGACATCATAATCAAAGATTACTGAAAAACATTCAAGAGATGGAAATATTTTACATTTCACATATCATCTTGAGGGCCAGATAAGATGTCAACGAGGGCCACATTTGGCCCTCGGGCCTGGAGTTTGACGCACATGATTTAAATATAACCCCGAGGTTCACAGTTTGGAGCATCAAGGTACAGTATTGTGACTGCACGTTGTTGCTTTTCAGCTATAAAAGTGAACTCCCTCTGAAGTGATTATAAAATTAAAGCTTAAAGCAAAAATGTTGTAAGGAGAAACAGCTGGAGTTTGGACAACAAAAGTACCACTTTTTTCTGTTATTTTTCAGTGTGGGGTTTGTCTGCAGGCCTTCAGTGGGTAACATTTCTGCACAGGTCTATGAACCAACAAATGGATGCTCACCCGTTCATATCACTCACTTCTCGCATGTTACAACAGCTCCACACGACTCAAACATTACAAGTCTAATGATGCTATCATTGCCTCCCCTAACCTTAAACTCTTTCATGTCGGAAAATGCTGCAAAACACTTTTTTATGGGCAGTTAAATTAATACGACTCCTATTTGTTTGCAGTGATCGTTGACAGATCCTTTGATTAAAGTCAGGAGCCCGGTGGTTCCTTTGAAGTGGAGACTCGAGCAATAATCTTTCACTAAATCACGCCTAACTGTGTCCAGCCACATTAAGCACAGTTTCAGATGACTGAATCCAGACTGTCTACCAGCTGACGACTGAAGGCACCCATTATTACAGGTTTAAGTTATGCAAATTAATTAGGTGAATTCCCTTAATTAAAATCAAGTCTGGGGGTTGTCTTTCATGTTTCTACCTGTTCTTTTATTAAAGTGTGTTTTTTTCCCCCCTCTTAATTATATTTTATCACTTGCTGGCTGAACAACATGAAGTGGGTCAAAGGCAGCTTAAATGACAAGAAGGTAGCTCAAGGATATACGGTGTTAAAGGTAAGTTGAATCAGTAAACTCAATTATACAGTGTCTATGAGAGAAATACAAAATTTGTACATGTTTTAAAAATGTTTGTGTCTTTAAAAGAAAAAACACCTGCGTGTCCTCATTTACTTTAACTGTTGTCTTTCAGTGCTACGTGCAGCGGCTTGTCAATCAACTGGGGTGGTCAGTCAGGTTCCTGGTGTGGCAAGTGCCACCCTGGCCACCACTCTGGCTCCGCCCCTGAATCTATGGCTGCAGATTTCCTTCTGGAGTGAACCCAATTCAAGATGGCCATCACAGCCGACACCAAAATGGCTCTAACTTTAATTCAATGCATTTTACACATGTTAAAGTCATATTTGGCGAGGCAGTAGCTGATGTTCATTCATTTACTCCAAGATCATCCAGGATCATGTGACATATTGCAATGTTGCATAAAATTTCAAAATAAAATCCCAGGTTTGGCCAAAATGGTGACATTCCTCAACTTCAGATGATCTGGCTCCTTTCAATAAATTCTTTAATTATAACAGTTTTCAAGACTGACCTTGTGGTTTGCACACAAACACTTCCCTGCATGTCTACCATTGTCCACTTCCACAGCGTACTACAAAGCAGCGCTGAACCACAGATATGAAGGGAGGGGCTTTGGCTTCCCCAGCTTTCTTCTGAAACGTACTGTAAGCAGTTTTCCTGTAGACCCAAACAGGAAAACACAAAAACTGTCTGGAGGACTTCAGTGTGTGTGAAAAGTCAACTTTTCCTTTCAGCCGGCTTCATGTAGAAAAGCTCATTCACATCCCAAACATTCTTCCTTGAATTTTTTGTCCACTTGCTACTACTACTGTACCCAAACAATGAGTCTAGATGAAGGGGGAGCGAGGGGGGTGAGAGCGATGTCTGGGGATTGAGTGACTTCCTTTTTAGAAAAAAACACACAAAAAAAGGGACTGTGGGCGTTGGGAGGGCAGGGAAGCATGATCTCGTGTAAACAGTCTCATTTTTATTTTCTCCGTGACAGCTGCAGACTCACCAGCCGAACCATAGGTTTCTGGGATAAGCGATCCCACACAAACCAGTACCTGAATGACCCCCAATGACCTTTATACTCTCATTTAGAAGCAGCCATCCATAACCACATCTATCCTTTAAGGTCCAACAGGTGAGCAGCCCAAACTCACAGAAACAATGGGTTTATTATCCTTCAGCAGGAGAAGCTGCTGTAACAATGGGTCTACAGCAGGCCTGTTCGCCACCCCGACATCATGCTCTAATTTAGCCGTCAACAAGTTCAAATAAAGGCTAAAGGGGTGGTCTTCATTGCTTTCTCTCACACAGAGCACCTTAAAGGCTCAAAGTGATGCTGGAGGGTCATGATAGCGTTTAAGCTTTAATATTGGTGGAAAAACTGCAAAATAACGATATAATATCCTTTAAACTTCCTATATACGACCACACATAGAGTGCAGGTGGTACAAAAATCCCACCCAACCCCTGCCTCTGTGGACACCTGCTGCATGAGCATCAGGTGCTGTGAGATTAGGGGGTGAACCTTTAAGTGCTGTAATTCAATCTCAGTTTGAAATTCTCCTAAAAAAAAAAAAATGGAGCAACAAAAGGAGACCTGGTGTGGGGACAAACCCAGCTCGACACAACAGCAGCCTATATTTAACTGCGGTGGGAATTGTGTGAGCAGCCGCACAGGAACACTTTCAATGCACAACGAAGGCCGGCTGGGACTGAACTTCCTCCTCAGACTCCAGCATGAGTGTCTCGCTCATTTGGAACCCCCCTCCAATCCCCACAGCAACATAAAAAGATAAGCATTGTTTGGCCAAACAAAGAGCCACTTTCAGTGTCTCAAAAGCCCCCAGTTTCACATCCAGGCGGGCATTTGATGTCAGGCAGGACAATAATTAACTTCACAAGTGGATGTGAACCAGTTGGTACAGTTGGACAAAGTGGATAATGAACAGGTGGAGATGAGCAAAATGAACCCAAAGACAGAAGAAAGTCATCAGCTCAGAGAAGCTGAGTCTTAACTTAGGAGAGAGACAATTTTATGACTCTGAGGTGACAATAAAGTCCAAAAAGTTGGAATTGTGTGGGAACCCAACCTTTAGGGAGTTTTGGTCAACCAGAGCCAGCGCCTGCTTCTTCAGCTCAGAGACCTTCTTCTGGCACTGCTGGCACGCGCCACCTCCTTTCTCCTCGGTCTCGGAGATGGACCCGGCGCCCTCAGGAGGAGGTCTGCTGCTGCATCGCGCCTCCTCCGCAGAGTGGAGCTTTTTTCTGGGGGTCACCGCAGACTCTCCGCCCGGACACCCCTCCACCTTGAGCACAAGACAGAAACTTTGGTTAACAGCTTGCCTGCTGCAGAAACACCTCAAACTCGTGCGTAAAAGTGGCTGTTCTCGGGGAAACTTGGAAACCCAGACCTGCCCGCAGAAAGAAAACCAAACAAATTCTAGCACCTGCTGAGGCACCCACTTACAGTGAACAGGCGGCTGTGAGGCTCCTCTCCATCAGAAACCAGTTTGTCTGAGCTCATTCTCCCAGATCAGGGTTCAGGAGCAGGTCCTGGTGAAACTCGGAGGGGTTCTGTTGCCATAGGCTACACACAGCGGACCTGACTCTGGGTTGCCTGTCATCTGTCACATCAGGGCTGCAAACCTCCCGAGTCCAAAAGCTGCGCGCGAGTTTTGGCACAGTAGGGAGGCGGTGTAGGGCTGGAATGGGAGGGCTGAGAAAAGTTTCCCTGGCAGGGTGAGGAGGCTCACACCTCTCTGCACGGAGCAGGGACATAAAATCTGGCGATTTAAAGTCCCTCACTTGTCAGCCTAACTTAAAAAAAAAACTGGGGGTGAAACATTTATACATGTTGGCACTTTGGAATATGATGCCCAAACTAAAATAATAAAACAAAACAAAAAAAACGTATGTTTGTGTTTTGTTTTAGGCATTTTTGCATTTAAAGTGCGCGTCAGCAACTGTTGCCTCTCCCAGTGTTTGCGCAGCGCTGCGCGTCCTTGGCGTGACTCTGGCGCCATCCTCCATCCAAACTGCAGAACAGCAGCAGCTTCAGCTCAGACTGCGCACTACAGGTTTAATATTTAATTGGTAAACTTTAAATATTTCATGCGGGTGATGTAAGCCACTGTGGTCACATGCGCCTCTGTCCCCAACAACTGAAACATTTTCTTTTTTCTTTTTCTGCCTTGAAACGACAGATTTTTTTTTTTTCACTTTGAAGCCTTTTGTTTTCCTTTATATGTCATGGCACGTATAGGATGTGTTTGGTAAAATAAATGGGTGAAAAGCCAGAAAATATTCAATAGACTATTTTTTCCCTTATTGGCTGCAAAATTTAAAGCTTTAAAGGCTGATCCCAGGAGTTTTTATTCTTTTTAAGCGTCTATAACCAAATAACTTAAATCTTCACACAGTTTTTGTTTAATAGTTATTTTTCAGGTTTTTTTTTTACGTGAATAAATGCTAAGATTCTTCAAATGACATTAAAAAAAAGTCTTCGAGACTTGAGCAAGATCAACTTTCCCCCCTCAATCAGAGCAGAGTCTGAAGCGGATGAGATGCTGAACAGAGAGGAGCATCATCTGTTCAGCATCACTCATTTCAAACATCCCATTCGTCTTATTTTTACCTTAGTTTTCCTCTTCAGCAGGTGACTCGTGAACCCAAATATGATGTCGGAGTCAACAAAGATCGTCCCCAGGTCGATCACGCCGGGGTTGGGCTTCCCAGCTCCGGGAGACCCCCCAGGTGAGTTTGGCAAAGCCATGGCGGTGTCCAGAAAATATTCCACTCGGTGGGAGACCTATTATACCTGTAGATCCATGAAGCTCACGCGTCTCGTGCCCCCTGAAAACATCCGCAAGGTGTTTTAATCCGGACATTCAAGTGGATTTCTGTGAGCTCTCCACGTGTGCGTAAAACAACCTCTCGGGTTTCCAGATGTCCACGCACACACACGCGCACACAAAAGGCAAGAAGTAGAATCCACCCGCGCGTGTAGAGAAGCTTTAATCCATTGTGGCACTTTTTAAACCATCCTCTGCTGAGCAGGTCTGGGGTCTGCGCGCTGCGCGCTCATCCCCTGCCTCTCCTCCTCTCCCTCAGCCATCCTCCCTCTCTCTCTCTCTCTCTCTCTCTCTCTCTCTCTCTCTCTCTCCCCTGAGCGCCCCTGTCACTGATGACCTCCTCTCCCTCTCCGGCTGCGGGTGCGTGCCTGTCATCCCCCGCACGGAGATGTAAAACCCTCCTAATGTCTGTGGCGCACACTGGTGGCTCCATCTTCATGGGTCGTTCAACCCGCCAGATGAAGGTTCTTATCCTCAGGTAAAGATTAAATATGCGACATGCTTGAGTTCACATTCAGCTGAAATTGAATCTTTGCGTCATTTGGCCAGCCTATTTTGAATCAAATTAATCTGGATTTTCTTTGAAAGTTTGACCACCTCTTTTTGGCAACATTAATCTGACCTCAGTGATGCTAATGTCGCAGTTTGTAAATGTTTATTCTAGTAGTTTTCTCATGTGCATTTCTAAAATGCAGGTATGCACTCAATGTAAACAAAGCACTCATGAATCTGCTGAAAACCACCTGGAAGCTTCAGTCCCGTTATCAGGCAGACCATCACTTTGGCTATTTCGGTAACATGCCTATAGCAGCTGGTCCCAAAATGTACTTTATTTATATTTTTAATTTAGGGACACATTAACGATCAACAAAATTTAAATAATTTCATCAGTTAAAACACATAGATATAACGTCTTAAATTAAGCAGATCCGTCATTATTCAGTGAATGAACCTTCAACTTTTAAATCAGGCCGAGCCTATTATCAGACTGAGGGCTGCAGCCAGGGGAACCAATGTGGACCAATGGAGCACAGAGTTCTGTTGTTCTCAACCAGAACCCAACATGAATGAATGATTCAATTGCTAGTTGTTTGATCCAAAACCTTTATAATTCAGCAGAATATAAACGGAGAGAATGAGAATCTGTTTCTTTTCTAAAATGAGGACAGAAAAAAACAAAACACAACAGACACTGAAAAGTGACTTTCAGTTGCAAGTTGCTTAAGTCCTCAAACTATTGGTTCCTACATTACCCAGAATGCAATAAGGTAAGGTGGCCCTCCCTGCAGCGCAGGCGTCTGTAACCTGGCAGCACAAAAAAAGATGCGTTCAAGGACTCGGGAATTTACATATCCACCTTTATTTATGACCCCTTTTGCTCAAGTTTCTCATTAAAATGAGTTCACCCGTCGGTGAAGAGCTTTCATTGAGGTCCAAACTAAGTTCTTAATCACAATTCGGGATGTTATTTACTCTAAAGATGTTTTTCTTAACTCGTGAAAGTTGCAAGGTCATTAGGAAAAAGTAAGGAAAACAGCTTTATTCTTTCTTTTCATTTGAACAAATATGAAGATTCAGACTTGGGCAACAATGACTTTTTGAACAGAGGGAATAAATTATTAATATTCCACGGATGGATTAATTATTTATTTAAAAAAATATCTCATCCTTCCACATATTCCAGCCCCACACCTCTTTAGAGGAGGGTGCTGGTCAGTAGCCCCATGATAAAACAGATCCATTGGGTCTCCTCCTTCTGGCCCCCTGGTGAGGACCCGGGATGGCTCGGTCCCCCCTCCCCTGGGACTGCAGAGCTTGCTGCTGCAGCTGCCCTTTACGCACGCACGCGTAAATGGCTGAGGGCATCTCATTACCGCCTCACCCTGGGAGACCTCTGCAGCTCCTGCTGCAGGGCAGGCTCTGTGAGAAACGTTTAGCTAATATTGATAGTTCTTGGTGCATGGAGGAGATCAAAGAAAGAGAAAAAGAAAAGAATAAGGAGGGGATAAGTGTTGAGCAGTGCCATCATGAATGATTTATGCAACACTGGGAGTTTTTCCCGTGAATCTCACAGTATTCTCACAAGTTTAAAATTTCATTAAGGACTTTAAACTATTTTAATAATTAGGCCCAGGCTTGGACTAATGAGTGGTTAAATCAATGAAATGCATGTGAACATATCCCAGACTGCTTCATATGAGACATATATGACACATCTTTAATTAGTTATTGGTGAATTTAAAAATAAACCTCTCTCCAGTGTAAGGTTAGTCGTGAACGGCACCGCATGTGTGCATATTTGCCATTTTTTGTTAAAACTATTTTGGGCATGGATCATCCCTGCAGACCGAAGGTCCATCACCCTCCTCAGACTAATAAGAGACAAACGGTTCTTTATTGACTTGTTTTAATCAGTATTTCTGAATAGCGGCAACAGAAAAGCAGAGAAAATACACGCCTTACTGCAGCAGCAGAGCTGTTAAAATGTTGCACGTGTGCCAGCAGGATGAAATTACTGAAGCCTAATGATTTTTACAGCGCCCCATAGTTCCCCAAGACTGCAGGTGTGGCTGTAGCACAATGTGGCAAAATGACATAAAGGAGGCAGCAAAGCGTGAATAAATCAATGGCTCCAGAGTCGCTCAGTGAGGCCTTCTGAGATGTTTCCCTTCACAAAGAAGAGGGTTGTCTAAAAGCAGGCAGCAAGTGTCCGACTGCTCAAGTGGTCCTAAACATTTCACAATTTTCTCAAAGAACTGTTGAACTGTTGAGAACCACTTGATCAGAATGACTGTACTCCTTCCGCTCCTTGTCCTCTTGTTGGGTCACTGTAAAAAAAAAATGTAGGAAAAGCAGCTACAATCAGAATCTGAGAAACATCTGCTGCTAAGAGCACGTCGTAAGATTTTGAAAGAAATCACAGCAAATCCACTCAGGAACAAGAACGATCAGTTGAGGGTTCGTCAGAGGTTTTACCTGAAGTTTCCTTCTCCTTGCTGCGGTGCTTCTTGGCGTTATCCCTGCCAAGACTGTGTGACTGAACAGGTAAGAGTGCCTTTATATAGCGTTTAGGGACTAGGTTCATACAAGCCTCTCATTCAGAGAAGAATGAGGCCTGTGCTGGTTCAACCGGACGAGCTGGGTTCCTCTAGCGACGAGCAGGACAGGGCAGCCACCCTCCACACTCAGATAAATGCTGGCAACTGTAGAAGCCTTAATAGATGGAAATCTGCTGCGGCTTTCTGATTAAGTGATTTTATAGTTACGAACAGCTGATATGGTTTGCTGTTCAATGAGCTTTTCTCCTAAAGCCCTACTGCTTTCACAATGATCCAATTAGAATTCGTAGCACATTTCTGGAGGAATACAAAGAAACTGAGCTCAATGAAAATGGCTTAACAGCTGGAAACAGGCAAAAAAAAAAAAAGATGTGATATTGTTGGAGTTTTACAGGGTTTTGAGCAATACAGAAGCAAACGAGGCAGTTTTTAAATAGAAAATGTGTTTTATTTCTGTTGCTTTTGCCACAAAAAGAACAACACAACAAAGTCACATCTATGCACAACTTCTTACTTTTTTTTTTTTTTTTCTGGAACACAACGGTGATAAAGTGTCGTTTTGAAAGCAACGGGATACATTTCATGTGATAAAGGTGGGATCATAAAATCTGAATGTATTCAGGACAATTATAAAGTGTGGCAGTGTTTCCCAGCATTCACCTGTTGCTCAGTAATGAGGAGCCCAGTAAATTATTTGTGTGTGAAAGGAAATAATTAGCATTGATCTGTCTCGCACAAATAAAGTCTGGATTTCCCCTTTCCGTTTTTGCGAGTACAAGATATGCAACGCTACCAGTTCGACGATTAGCACAAGAAACAGGCTGGATGAGTCTCGAAAGTGCAGGTTTTTAACAATGTCGGCCGAGCGGCGGGAAGTGAAAACCTCAGCTTCAGAAGTGAGGAGATGATTGCAGTTAAATTACATTCAATTAAAAAAATACAAGAAAATCTAATATAATCTCACATCAACAACAACCATAAAAATATAATCTATGAACATGTAATGTGAAACATCACATTAAACATTTGGATGTAGATATAAACACTATATGACATTTAAAAACAGCTTCCTGGTGACGCGTCTGTTCATACGAACATCTGAAAAAAACAACGCTGGAACAGCTTCCTGCAAACATTTACATACATCTAGTTTTGTCCGTTCAGGGCAACTAAGAGCAAAATGTACACGTGGTGATAAAATACTAAAGCTGAAAATGGAGGACGGTGCAGAGGTGGACGGAACAGGACGGGGTCTCGTCAGATGAGGTCGGGTCAGGTTTCTGTTGGGATGGCGTTGAACTCGATTGTCTCGCCGTTCTGAAACAGCAAAGAAAGGGTTAAAATGGAGTACTGGGGAGTGGACAAGTGTCACACACACACACACACACACACGCACGACAACCCATGTTAGTTTTGTGTACACAAGCTCAAGATCCGCAGAGACTGTGAGCATGCACTCAAAATCAGATCAGGCCTCATCTTTTATGAATAACACTCCTGACACACAATCAGCTCAACTTATGCCCTAACAGTTGACTCAAAGCAAATAAATCTTTATTCAAACATACTTAAATTATTTTAATTTTCTAAATTTTAAGGAGTTAAACTGCATCAGCCATCAGAAGCTGTTTGTCATTTTGTTTTTTTTTTTCCTTTAAGGAGCTTCTTTTGTTACAATGTGCTGTTTAAAATGAAAGAAAGCAGCAAATCTTCCTATTTAAAACACCAAATTTAACCTTATTTAACAGATTAATTTTCTGTCAGGGCTGCACGGTGGTACAATGGTTAGCGATGTCGCCTCGCAGCAAAAAGGTTGCAGGTTTGAATCTTTGCACCTGTATCTCTAAACAAGATTACGCAGGTTTCTATCAAAACCTGACACTTTTAACCAGATTACAAAACGTACTTTCACTAAGCTACCATTTTTAAAAGACCTTAAAAATAGTCTATTTTAAAAGATGCATCTTAAAACAAATTCATTTACCAAAAACCTCTTGTATTTTACACACGTCAAGAGCTTAGTTTCTGTGTCGATTCACCATCTTTAATCAACTCTCAGTTTCATCAGAACGCTGATTGATCCATGTTGATGGCAACATGTTTGTCTATAGTGACACACATGTCACTTTACACAAGTGCAAAATGTGCATCGATCCCAACTGGGTCAGAGGCACAAAGAATTAGCAGGAAAAAAATGTGAAATTATAGAAAGAGTGAACAGAAAATGAGCTGATGTACCCAAAAGAAAGCCGAGCTAAGGCAGCCATGCTCAGGGGGCTCATAGGCTTACTACATCTCATTTACCTCATCATCATCATATTCATCATACTCATTAAATTCACCAAATACTGTCTGCAATTACACAAGACAAGTAATTAAGAAGCACGATTAAACCCCACAGGAATGTGAAGCTGAGTAAAAATGGGAACCTGTGGTTACCATGGATTTGTTGCCAACAAGTTGGACTAAAAACGCCACAACTTCCTTTCTGCCTGCAGCTTCAGCCTGTGACAAATAAAACAAGGAGATGCTTGACTTAGTGGTCTGAAGATTGTTAATAACAGAACAAGTCTTCCTCGAACCCACCACTTCAATCGTTGTCTTTCCATCATAGCCTGGCTTAGTCAGATCTGCTCCGGCCAGGCTCCAGATCTCCAGGCCGTCTATGTCACCACTGGCTGCCAGGCTGACACACAAAACATTTTTATTACAAAAAAATAATAAAAATCACTCTGAATCAATTCGGTTTTATAGAGACTGAGCCAGCACATGAACGGTAAGATGTTGCTATATCCTCACAGTGACTTTGACATTGTGCAGATAAGGAACAAAAGGTGTGTTCCTGAAACTCTGAATTAGTTTGGAACCGTCGTGACAAAACCTGTTGGGTATCTTGAGGAGATAAAGCAGGGCCCACTCAGAGTCGTGTGCTTGTCTGCACTAGAGATGCAGATTGGATGCAAAGCTATGCTGCCGGGGTGCATTCCTATAGTTGTGTAACAGTTGGATAACTGGTTGTACCTGTGTCAGTCGTGTAGGATGGGTCAGCGTAGATGGCTTGGAAACGGCTAAATCAGTGTGTGTGTGTGTGTACAGTGTGAAGACGTGTGGTCTGACCTGCACAGTTCAGTTCCTGCGTCCTCCGTCTGCTCTCTGGAGAAGTGGGCTCCCGTCTTCCTCAGCAGCTTCACAACATCTTTGTGTCTAAATGTGAGGACAGGCAGTGAAAGGGTGTCATCGTTACTGTGTGTACAAATCAAACGCTGCAAAATGCATCAAAGTTGGGACACTTTGACTGATAAGAGTCCAATCTGACTTCCCCATCATGTTCTTTTTTTTTGGTGGATTTTTTTTTTAGAAGACCAACCAGTTTTCAAAAACATCACAGTTCTTTTCCCTTACGGTGTTGGTGTTTTCCAATTCTGCTTTTCTAAATACCTTAAAGGTGTTCTTTTAGCGTCAAGTCTGGCAGCATGCTTTGCTAGCTCGTACTCTTAAAATTTGTTTTTTTTAGAAACATTTGCTTTCACCTTGCTAGAACATTCCTCTTCTGTGAAACATCTCGAGACAGGGGTTCATCTTCAGATGTTGATTAAGTTGGTATATCTACAATAATTCATGGTTTCACCCCATACCATTACACTCCCACCTCTAAAAAACAGCGCTTTACGTTAAAATGGTCAGGTTTATTGTGAACACGTTGAATAAATAAAAGAAACATGTCTTTGTCTCAACTGATGGAAGTTGTGCTCCCAGCAATATTCATACTCATCTTCATTATCTTTAGGAAATGTTAAAAATCACACGTGCAGATTTGTTCTGAAAATTAAGCATGGGTTGTTTTTGTTCCTGCAACGTTTGGAGTTCTGCATTTTGTTGGGTTCTTCACACCATCAGGTTTTCATCAAAAAGCACCAGTTCTGTTTGCCTATTTTTCAAAGATGGATAGTTTAGGTAGTGTCCTGCCTGCTTATCATTTAATCAGAATGACTAAAAATGATTTGTAGTTCTTAAATGTATTCGACTTTACTTAACCTCCCTGCTGCCCTTGAGTCAAAACAACCTCCGTTTTAAATAATAATTAACAGGATCCAACTAAAAAAGTCTAAAGTCTAGTTTTTTTTTTTTTTTACTATTCATAAGAAGAAATACAATACATTTCTACATAAAGGTAATTCAGTAATCATATAGTGACACAATTTTAAGATTTTTGGGTAATTGTGTCAAACTTGGACTAAAAATCAGTTCTAATGTAAACCTTATTAGTTCACATTGATTTCCAGTTTAAATGTTGAGGTTTTTTTTTTTTACTTGTTGACTCAGTGTAGTAGCGCTCACTTGTTGTCTGACAAGTTAGAGCAAGTTTCTTATCCCCCACAACGTGCCACCCACGCAGCGACAGTCCCTTCGACAGGATATTCAGGCAAAACCAAACACCAAACTCTTCACCGCTGAACCGTTAATGAAATTCAAACAAGTAAAAAAGAAAGTGCACTTAGGCATTAGGGCACGTTAGTATGTATATGCTTATAGAGCAACTGCAGAAACTACTAAAAGGACACAGGAAAACTTTTAAAAGACTAAGGAGCTGGTATCTTTCATCTGTGAAACTGGGAGCTAACTGGTAAAACTCGTTCAAAAGACACTCCCCACATTTGTTCTTCAACTTCTCTTTCTGTGTCTCCCTGCCTTTCCTTATACGGGCATTTGTCTGAATCGCAGTGGAACACACCATGTGCACCATAAATCCAGTTGGCAACTCAAACCTTCGTTTCTATTACACTGAGAGTCATTTAATTGAGTGAATGACAGAAAGCCACTGCTGTGCTAGCTGCGTACCATTCTGTAGGACGTGTCCTGTAACGACAGGTGTTTGTGCATCACTCCACCATCACAAAGAGAAACAAGTCCACACTTGCAGCGGCAACCGTTAAAATAAGACAACAAACAGTTGGCAGAGCTGTGACACATACATTTTTTCCCTTCAGGCTCCATATAGCACAAACAGAAACTTAAAGTTGGGCCTTTTCTTGACTAAGCGATGACGAAAAACAGCTGTGAAAGAATAAAATAAAACATCTACACTGTCAGAAGACAATTAGCCTAATTAGTTTGTAATTATCACTGCCCTCTAAGCTTCATTATGAGTTGCTCCCCTGGTTTCAGCCCCCCCAGCTGCAGTTGCTGCTCCCTACTCTTCATTTAGGCAGAGCTGAATTTTCCTGCCTCTAAGCAGTTCATTTAATGAAATCTGCTCTACGATAGCTATTACCATGATATTCTCAGCACTCAGATGTCTTCGAGGAGTAACAATTGTTGCTAATTGCCGAAAGGAGGATTTTAAACAGCTGCAACGTCATGAACGTTAGTTTAAGGACCAGACAAAACAAAGACTGCAGCGCTCTTTGTTTCTTACCTGAAGCGCACAGCGTTGCAAAGTGGAGTGTCTCCGTAGCGATCTTTAGCATGGACCGAGGCGCCGTTACTGAGGAGGTACTGGACAAGTTTGAAGTGACCCTCGCAGGCAGCGATATGTAGAGGTGTGCGTCCGTCAAAGTCACCCAAACACAAGTTACTACCCTGTGACAGAAGAAAAACCACCACTGGGTATATCAAGTAAAACAAAGTGATTTTTTTTTCATATCAATAAGTATTGTTCATCTAGTTGTGTTAGCCCCTCAGAAAACTCCTTTACTATTAGAAAACTAATAAAATACATCAGCAAGCCACATTATTCTAGATTTATTGCAAAGACATTTCTTGTACTTTTGGTTAATTAAGTTTCAAATGTGCATGTAACATTTGAAAAATTGTGTCCCACAGACATTTTTTGTCTCTTTTTTTGGAAAAATACAGCAAAAAAAAAAAAAAACCTGTTCCCCGAAACTTCAAGTTCAAGTTTACCAGTGATGTACGTTGACCTCGCAAACCAAACATAAGATAAGATACGTCAGATGCTTTCCTTCTGATACTTGTCACATAACTGTGTTTAAAGTTTGTGGCATAGATTTCATCGACCTTTCAACCCTGATATGTTATTAATTTTTTTTTTATTAGCATAGTTTGTGTATTAAATTGTTATTCTCTTTACCTAATAATCAAAACTTAGTAATTAGCAACTATTAGTGTTGTGATCATGGAGGTGTTTACCATTTCTTTAAGGGCACCCAGGGCTTCTACGTCTCCGATCTTGGCAGCAGCGCATGCCAGCGGAGGAGTCAGAGCATCACGGATGGCTTCCAGCTCCTTTGGACACCAGAGACAAGAAAAATCAAAAACATGCAATTTGGCTCAAACGACCCAACGTCCAATTCCATCAAACTTTGATTTAGAATGACCTTCATAAAGTATTTTTCTCTTGCACTTTACAACTCAGCTAAGCTTGGCTTTATTTGTTTGTCTCCCTCAATATTGTACAGAACCACCTCACTTGTGATTGCAAGCAAGTAAGTACTGGTCAATATTTGTGCAGCACTGTTAAACTCCCGACAACTAAATGTGACATTTGCATTACATCTTATAAACTGCTATACTTATTGCAGAAACATATCCAGACCCATAAACTCAGATGAAGCTGTAGATTGTGTAGTGTGATGACTATTCTGACATGTGTTAAGTTTGATCTCATTTAGCTCCATGTGACTATGATAAGCCTCACCTACAAAAAAAGCTGAGTTAAACTGAGCTACGCTGTGGAATAAAAACAAAAAACAGAAAAGTCCTGACTTGTGAGTTACCACCAGTCACTGGAAACAGGACAACAGGTTCGCTGGAAGTCCTGTTCAGTGTCTGCAGAGCTGAAGCATGCACGCTCACCTCCTTGCAGCTGATACTCAGCGACTTGGCAATGACCTGGATGAACCGGCTGTCGCTAAGACACAGCTTGGCTCCGTCGAGATTGGCGCTCATTTCACCTCGCAGGTTCTCAGCCATCATCTGGACGAGGTGAAAAACGAAAACCTTTAGAGCCGTCTTTGAAGCTTCTTTGGCTTCATACGTAAAAAAAAAGTGTTGTCACGAGTTGATAAACCTTTTTCTTGGCCTCCAGACTGAGCTCCTTCTTGGCCAACACGTAAGAAAGTTTGGACAACGCAGCCTCAGGAGTCATATCACTCCCAGCTATCAGGCCTGCATCCATCAACACCTAAAAAATAAAAATTGAATAACAAGTCATTTGATTCCTTTGCTTTAACCTAATTATAATGTCTGATTAAAGGTTACGAGGGACTCGAATGAACTACCATGCCGGTGGCATAAGATGCTGACACAGTCCCCCTCAGACACTGTGTGCAGTTCACGATGATGACACCAGCGTCAGTAGCTTTCTTCAGCTCAGCCAGAAGGTCAGGACGGTTATCGGGGGCATTTCCACTCCCGTAGGTCTCCAGGACGACCCCCTGCATGGGCGGCTGCAGGAAAGCCCTGGCCTGGACACAGATGTGAGCTGACTCAGATTTCAAAATGGCCAAATAAACTGCTCAGAATCAAACTGAGAAATTAGCATTCCATGTTATTTTTCCTGCAGTGCTTTTCACTCTTATTCATGAGACCATTTCTGCTCCTAAAAGCCCATCTGGTGCCATCTCAGAAACCAGTATCTTAATCACTAGTTGGCTGGTGGGCACTGGGAGGCCCCATACCACATCATTAACCACGGCATATGACTAGAGCAGCAGATTACTTCAACGGCAGGAAGGAGGGCAATTAATCTGAAGCCATTAGCGAGCATAAAGTCACTTGGCAAATTAAACTGCGAGAAGGAGGTGACATTTAAAGTACAGAGTATTTTGGGGTGTAATTAGAGGATGGACAAGAAAGGTGCAACATAAATCTGCGATCAAGTTTTCATAGCAAAGAACCTGGTGCCTAATCAAAATGACGGCTCATAAAAGCTGTGAGAAAGCCTTCGTAGCACAGATGGGCAGTGGGAGCAGACTGAGACAGTAAAGTAACTCTCCCAGCAGCCTCTGCGGGGGGGGGGGGGGGGGGGGGGGGGGGTAAATAGTACAGTATCTGAGCCAATCCTTCCCTTTTACAGGATGATTCGACATGGCCCATAACTCTGCCTCATCTTTTTCTGGCCAACACTTTGACGGTCATTTATAATAACAGGAAAGTATGAGAACGTTTAAATTAAACGTGGATATATTTCCCTGTGGTTTGACTAAAAAAAAAAAAAAAAAAAAAACTTTTTTTTTAAACCCTCTAAATTTAACTTTAAGTATTCTTATTTGAAAAAGAAACGGTCTTAGTGTAAAGAACTGAACAACACTTTTTTAATTAAAAAGAAAGATGACCTCGCATCTGCACAATAGTAGAAAGTGTAAAAAAATATATATATTGGAGCCTGGTTTTTTTAGGATGTCTCACTGCTTTAAAAATAATGGGGCTTTTATTGTGCTGACTGGAGTAACAACCAATATAACCTAAAATAGTCACACTTGCACATATATAGTTTAATTGGTGTGATTTGTTTTCAGGATGCACTTTACTAATTGCACATTTCTACACATCAAAGATCAAATGTCTTACCGTAGAAGCAGTGATTCCTGGGAAAAGCCGAAGCAGACCCACGTTCCGGTTCAGCTCTGTTCGGACTTGAAACTTTGCTGTGGTGTTTGCCCTCCAAACAGTATCCCAGTTAACTAAAGGAAAGATGACAACATGAAGCTGGAAAAACCACTTTGAAAAAAATGTAATGATTTAAAACACAAACTAGAGTATTTCATCTGTCACTAACTTGAAATATCCACTTCAGCTGAAGCCAAAGGAGCCAAGTTAGGAGAGGAGAACGCGTTGAAACTCCCAGCATCCACCTTGGTGACACGATTTCCTCTGTAGAGTTTGTTGAAGAAATATAAGCAAACCTGAGATAAGAAAAAGATGCAAGTCACGGGGGACAAAAAAGTTACAGAATTAATCACTTGATGTGACAGATGATTATAAAGTGTCAAACATTAAAATATTGATATTTATCTACTTAAAGCCATATTTGCAGAGGAAAAATCACTTTAAACATTTTACCTGAAACAAGTGAACAAATTTAGGAATTAGAAATACAGTAGTCCCTCGCTACTTCGCGGTTCGTTTTTCGCAGACTCGCTCGATCGCGGTTTTACAAAGTAAGATTGGACATGACACACAACTGGCTGACTGATGGGATGAGCCGCAAGATCAGCAAGGAGTTTTTTTATTTAAAATAAATTATTTAGCACCTGTGTGCAGCCCAAGCTGCAAGAGAAGCTTCTTCTTGCAGCTGATCTGCTGATCTCCGCTCTGCAGTGGAGGAGGGGGCGTGGCCAAGAGCGCTGGCAGAGAGCAGCCAGAGAGCTGAAATCATGACATTCTGTGCTCTTTTAGAGCGTTTAGAGTTTAGAAACATTGTTTAGAATATTGCAAGTGTGTGGGAAAGGTAAAAAAAAATATATAGTATATATATATATATATATATATATATATATAGGGCAGCACGGTGGCGCAACTGATAGAGCTGCTGCCTCTCAGCGAACAGGTCCCTGGTTCAAAACCCCGGTCCAGGTGCCCTCTGGGTGGAGTTTGCATGTTCTCTCCGTGCATGCGTGGGTTTTCTCCGGGTACTCCGGTTTCCTCCCACAGACCAAAAACATGCATGTTAGGCTGATTGGTAACTCTAAATTGGCCCTAGGTGTGAGTGAGAGAGTGAATGGTTGTTTGTCCCGTTTGTCTCTATGTGTCCCTGTGATGGACTTGCGACCCGTCCAGGGTGTACCCCGCCCCTCGCACAGTGATTGCTGGACATGGGCACCAGCGACCCCCGTGACCCAAAATGGAATAAACGGGTAAAGATAATGGATGGATGGATGGATGGATGGATGGATGGATGGATATATATAT